ATTTGGGCTGATTCCAGCTCTTGGCTATTGTGAAGAGTGCTGCGATGAACATTGGGGTACATACATTTGGATGTTGTTGGATACCAGATCTGAGTTGACACTGACCATTAGATACCCAAAATGCCAGCATAGCTCCCTTATAGAATATGGCAAGATGGTGAGAGGGTAAGTGGAGTCTTGACCTAGGTCAGTCTCACAGCAGGCTCACTGGGTCCACAGACCCACCTGGTGTTCATTTATCCAGTTCCCAAACGCAAAATCCACCACATTCATTCCTTGACCTGTGGACTAAGAGCTATTTTAGTAGAAAAGGACAAGTGGGAGCCCCTGAAACTATCTATTCCACCCCCACACTTTTTAGGGATGTAGATTTGCTAGAGCAGATTAACACAATTCTGGTAAGGGGTATGTAGAATATGAACTGGCAAATGTATCATTTTCAATAGCCAGCAGGAAGGAGAATTGGAAGTGGACATAGTTTATGTGGAACAGACGGCAGTATAAATTCACCATCTGGAACCACAGGGCTCTGTTAACTCTCCTGCTTTTTGTCCCTATATATTCCAAAGTGATGTGGACCTTCTGGACGTTCTACAGAATATCATGTTGATCAACAATTTTGGTGATATCATGTTAATCACACCTGATGAACAAGAAACATGCATGCTGTGGATACTTTAGTAAGACACGTGTGCTCCAGAAGATGGGAGATAAATCTGACAAAGACTCCAGGGGCTGTCACATTGGTACTATTTATAAGAGTTCACTCTAGAGAACACTAGGACATCCTCTGCTGAATATCTGACCTGCCAGCAAGAGACCAACCCCGAGCCCCTGATCAGGTGCCATTCTTGAGGAGATCAGCCAGTTACTCATTCATGACTGGGATTGACATGTAGTCTGGGTGTGGGTTTGCCTCTTTTGCTTGCAGTGCCTCAGCCAGCACCATTACATGGGGGCTCAAGGGTATTTGATCTAGCAGCATGGACTCCTACATAACTTCACCTTGGACCAACAGACCCCGTATGCAGCAAAGAATGTGTGGCAATGAGCGCATGACCACGGGATCCACTGGTGTACTTGATAATGACACCGTCCAGAAACAGTTGAGCGGATAGAGTGATGCAACTATCTCTTGAAGCCATAACTGAGGTACCAGATTGGAGGTGACACCCTATGAGGATGGAATATTATCCTCCAGGACACAGTCTACACCTTAAACTAGTGACCATTTATGGTGCTGTGTCCCCATAGCACCCAATAGGCCAAATACACTAACACAAAAAACCAAGGGGTGGAAAGAAGAGCTGCCCCACTCACCCTCACTCCCAGTGGTCCATTTGAAGGAGTTTGTGCTTCCCTTACCCATAGCTTTAGGCTCTGTGGCTCTAGATGTTCTGACTCCAAGAAAGGAGGTGCCACCTCCAGGAGACATATTAAGGGTCCCCTTGGAATTAAAGCTGTGGCTCTCACCTTATCACTTCAGGCTTCTAGAGCCAGGGGTTCAGTAGGGAAAGAAAGGAGCTATTCACATTGCAACTGACCTCATCATCATGAGGAAGGAGGAGTGGGAACAGGGAGGAGTATTTGGCCCTTAGGCGATCTACTGGGACATTCTCAGCATTTCTCTCTCCAGTTTTTTCTACAAATGGGCAAGTGCAATGGCTATAGCTCAATAAGAACCTAGTAATTAAGGGCACAGAACTTTCAGGATGAGGACCTGTATTACTCTACTTGGCAAGTCACCTAGACCAGCAGAAGTGCTGCTCATTAATGTTCTCTTGTAATTTTCTCTGGAAATTATGATTAATTAGCTGGATTGAGCTAATGAGAGAAAGGGGTGAACCTGAGAAGTGCTGTGGTGGACTATATGATATCTGTCCAGATTCCTTTACACTGTTCACCCGCACCGTTCTCCAGGTAATTACCCTCAGC